GCCCCGCCGCCGCCCGGGTCGCTGGCTCGGGAGCTGGAAAAGGTCTGAGCAGGCTGCGTATCCTGCGCTGAAAAGCGCGCGTTTCGCGTCGCCGCCGTGCGCGTATGTTTGTGTATATGCTTGTACGTACAGCCGCTTTGCTCGTGTCAGTGTCTGGTGTTTACCGAACTTTCGCAAATAAATGGAAACCGAGGGTTCGTTGCCTAAACTTGATATGCTTTATAGGTGTAAAAAGAAACGCAGATCACAGATTTATATATAGAAGTGTCACGCTATAAAGAAAATGCTACCGATAATAAAATGTAAAACTTCCAAACTCAGTCGTACTTTTCCTCCGTTTATACTACTTGTTTGCTTTTTGCACCTCCTGGGGCACGGGCGATAGAGCATTATTTCTAGCCTGCTTGGTTTCACTTTCAAACAAAGCTGTAGTGTTCAGGTCGCAGATCCATGCGCGTCTTTAAGCTACGTGGTTCAGTCTTGCAGGGTGTTAATAGGGAATGTGTTTCCTACAGAAATGACTTTTGACAGTGTGGAGCATGCATTCTGTAAGGTTCACGCTCAATGTTCTGTGACAATTCTGTAGTGTGGATATACCTTTCTGTTGATGTCTTCAGGAATCAAAAGTTACTAAAATAAACTTTTTTGGATAAGCAAATACAATGGCTTCACTAATAATTCAAATGTTTTTATATATATATATATATATATTTTTTTTTTTTTTTTACATCTTAAGTTCCCTGACACTAGTAAATAGTAGGTTAGGGAGTAACACAATTAGCAAAGCACACCTGCTGTTACTTGCTGGGAACAGAGAAGTGGTTTTTCTAATATGCTTGTTAGTATTTTTAATGCGTTCAGTATATGTAAGTGTGCTGAGAGGGTGTCTTTAAATTAAACTGGAAATTTAGGTTTACAGCTGACTCTTGTCTTTAATTCACATGGTGGTAAGTCAAGGTATTAGAGGACTTGGTGACTACCATATGTGCTGCAGTATATGGGTGAGAAGTGCAGAATAAATATTCATCAATCAAAACAAACAAGAAATCCCCAAAGCAGTCTGGTTGCTTTACAAGCAAAAAAACCCGATCTGTATTGCTTACAACTGCCCAGCCACTTGTGTGTACTGTAAACGCGAAATCCTGCCTCTCCTAATCTGCGGATCCCAGCACTAGCAGGCTGCTGTGTGTCTTATTTTGTTAGCACAGAAGTTCTGAAACAGAGTAACTCCTGACCTCAAAGCCTTCCTTCTTGGAAAGAAGAAATGCCAAGATTGTATATTTCTTTCTCTTTAGTCCACACTGGTTAAAAATACTCACTCATGCATGTATTTAGTGCTTTGAGACAATGCTTAATAAAAGGGTTGGGCGGAGGGTAACTGTCTTATTCAGTGTTCAGCATAAGCTTGATTGCAATATTGTCTTCTATAGTCGCTGCCTATATAGTGCTCAGTGCTGAGACAGTTGCTATTCCAATGAAAGGCTTTTTAGTTTTAGTGACCCATGCATGCAGAGTTTAAATTAAAAAGAAATGCATGTGCAATGTAAAGTGTCTGAGGCTTGTTCTCGAAACTGACTTTGGAGTGTTAGTTTCATTAACTTCAAATAAAAACTAGGCTCCATCGCTTCTGGAAATAAAACTTCTGTCATTTAAGCACTGAGGTGCTTTCAAAAACTTTAGTTCTTGTCATTTAAAAAATGCTTAGAAGAAAAGCATGTTGAAGATTCTGATGTTCCAGCTCAGCAGGCATGCTAGGCAGCAGTGCTCTTTCACTATCTGTCTCTGAAGAAGGCTGGTTTCGTTAGTCAGTGTCTGCAAATGCAAGTATTTCAGTAGGCTTCGTAGCTAGTTTCTTTGCACTCTTGTAACTGCACTGGGTACAATGACTTCAATCACAGTTCTTAATCTTGAAAATGCTTTTTTCCTGAGTTAGGAACTGTGTGGTTAAAACTTTCTCCTTCAGTCATCTCCTAAAATGGTGGGGAGCCTACCGGAGGTTCTTGGTATCCACAAACCATGTCTGCAGGCCGGGGATCCGGCCTGCCTGACCTGTGAGCCTCAGTCAGCTGAAGGCAGTGCACACAGGTAAAGCAGTTTGCCCTGGCGAAGGCTGGGGCTTCCCATAGTTTTTACAGATGCACCTTTTAATTGGTACACGTTCTGAAAGATGCTGTTTAATGTTTACCTCTTAACTTTGGGTAGGGCACTTGTGCAGCGGGTTGTTGGTTTCCAGCCAAGCTCTGCCGCACTCCTAGAATCTCGCTGCTTCTCCCTGGAGTAATCTGGGAGCCTGATCGCTCTCGTTGACAGCACAAACAACTCGGGAGTCAAATCCCTCTCCTCAGCAGCAGCTGAGTGATGTAGTGAGGTCTCATGTTTCAAAGGCTTAATTACTTTTACAAAATATATTACTCTCTGTCTACTTTGGTAAGCTATCAGGTGCTTTCAGCGCAGACAGAATGACACTTTGCTAAATAAATGAACAAAGAGTGTTTTGCATCTGTGTGGTTAATTGTTTCTCTTTAATCCTGGTCGCTCCTTCTTTGCTAATTTGCAAAATTCATTAATCCGCAGTGGGTTTCCCAATCATTACCAAGAACCGTATGTTTTGTTTTGTTGTGTGTGTTGTTTTGTTGGGTTTGTTTTGGTTTTTTTTAAATTGCCACATTATTCTCCAGTAATAACCCAGAACACCATTGTAAGCAATAGAGTTCTGGGAATTAGGAAGGAGCCATTGTTTGCTGTGCTGCTCAGTGAGCTGTCAGGACATTTTGGAAGGATGTGTCTGTCTCGAGCTTTTCGTTCCATGCTATCTTACTGCGACATTAGTGTGTTTTTGTCAATCATTAGTGCTTGTTGGAGGTGAACAACTTTCTTCGGGGTGCACTAACTCTTTAACCCACTTGTTGCTAAAGCCAGCGTTGGAAGGATTTAAATTCTTCTGGAGAGCAATGTGGAAATTTACCATACTGTGCTGCTTTTTCTACTAGTCCTTATTCCTTCTCCCAGTCTTACTGATCAGATACCAACCAAAGAAACACTTGCCTCTATTTTGGATTCCTTTCGCGCCTTTCCAGGCCTCAGTCTCTTTCCAGCTTGAGTCTGATAAGAAGACACCATCGTGTCTGGATGTATTTCAGCAACGTGGATAACCTGGGCAGAGGAGAAGATTTATTTGAGTGTCTTACTCCTTCGCTGGGACCAGGGCTCAACGTTGTCCTCTCCACCAGCAATGGAACAGGTGTAGCAAAGACAATCTGAGGTGAAATTCCTGTGCATGGGGGACCAATATGGAAGAAGATGCTCCGGCTGAACTGATTCCATGTAGCTTCAAACTTTGAGATTTAGACTTGGTTCTGATTGACACCGGTCTGCTTTGGGAATGATCCTGTTTGCTCCTTCCTTTAAAAAGAGAGAGGCAGAGACAGAAAAGGATCGCAGTTTTCCTTCCTGGCCTTGAGAGCTGTTCCAGTTTTGAAGTTTACACTTGGAGCACTTTACCGATACAGCCGCACTGATATCCTTGCGGAGGACTTCATGCACTGGCATAAATATACGAGCAGAGATGCACTTTGTGTGACTGGCTCACCCATCGTAACCAAACCCACCCTGTATTGAAGGAAAGGCACGTTTTTCCTTGTGTAACTTTGTCTTTTCACCTGCTTAACTTATCCTCGTGTAACATTACGGAGGGTACCTGGTTGGGGATCACGCTTTCTCGCAACCCACCAATATGGCCATGCCAAGAGAAATCTGTTTTCTAAAACTGCACGGGTCAATAGGTTTGGCTGTAAGCAAGCGCAAAGTTTGCAGTACCACGCTGTTTTGCTGGGAGGGGATGTAGGACGTAGCCTTCTTGCTTTCCAAGGCTGGTTTAGGAACTGTGCTGTGGGCTGTAGTGAAACTGATACGCTGAGCTCGTGTATTCTGTACTGTATGCGTAAGAATTGTGTGTGGGTATAATGGAGAGCGCTAGTCCTTGTTGGAAAGCATTGCCGTTAGCATCAACAGAGAAGTTGCAAGCAGTTCAGTTTATGGTCTGTGAAATAGCGTTAAAGCGCAGCTCCTCAAGAGTGTCAAAAAGCGTATGCTCCCCTCAGACTTTGCTGGAGTCAGTACTTGTCTGAGTGTGGGTACTATGGATCAGCCTGTGTGCTGAA